CGTGTTGACAGTTTTAGATGTACGTAGGTCGTGACTGTGATCACACTCGAACGTCGCGATGATGCTAAAAAGAGAGAACAGACGAAAACGATGAATTGTCGATAGAACGATCCTACCCAATTGCGACAAATTTCCCGCAGAACCAGCAATTATCCAAAAATCCCCGTGTTATCCGTTCGAGAACTCTATCGTGCCCTCTCCCCAATTAGCTTCTGGCTAGCTTCGTCGATCCTCGCGAGGCTAATCGACCATCCCCCGCACCCTGAACCCCTCCTCGATCGCATGGAATTTAGTATCATTGGGAAACGTGTGAGTGTCTTCCAAGTCACGCGGTCGGGAGCCGCGCTGCTCGGCGCCTGATTCAAATTACCACTATTCTTGCGTTAATGTGATTTTAGACAGCTAAGGGAGAAAGAAGGAGCGTAGGACCCGTACTTAGCCAGAAAAGAAACGAGAGAGAAAACATGGACCGTGTGAGAAAGAAAAAATAATCGTGCGAACTATACGAAGACTTGATTAAACGAGAAAAGGGTGAATACAATTGAAACGTGTAAATCTATCGATGTGAGAGGCCAGGCAAGAAGGGACAGTATAGCGAGAGAGAGAGAGAGAGAGAGAGAGAGAGCAGTGGCTAATGTTCACGGGTCCGGCATAAAGTTACCTATTACGTTATGACATTTATTTTTAATCAAACTAACGTAGAAAGTCCTATTTATACGTATACCGCGCCGCTATTACTACTTAATACTATTTACTTGCTACTTAACTATTACTATTACTTAACTTACTCTACTTACCGCTCTAGCGTTTACGATCTTATGGCGTTTTACTGTCGCTAACTACCGCTGTTACCATCCGCTACCTTCTTATACCACCACCTTGTGTTACCATTACTTGCTAAATGCGTAAAGAGAAAAGAAAGAAAAAAAAACACACACACACACACACACCGTCAACGTTAAAATGCACTGTTCGCCGCCGCCAGTATGTGTCTCTTCGGGAAACACGAATCGTCCCCTCTACCCTGGATTTAGGAAACAGAGAAGAAAGAAAGTGAACAGATCTCCTAATACCGATTAATACTGAACGGATTGCACTCGACGATACGATTCCAGAAGAAGCTAGAAGATGGAATATTTAAGGAAACCTGAAGAAAGAAGATCCGCGAGGCTAAAGAACGAAAGAGAGTAAAAGTAATCATTCGACAGGCGCAATCGTTCAGCTAATAGCCCCTTCGACATGGCAACCTGACTCGTTCGGCAATGATACTTTCCTCTTTTTTGCGTCTATGTTAACTTATGAACGTAATGAAAAAAAAAAAGAAACCCGGTAAACCGATCCATACCGATACAACGTTTACAATCAACGACATCATATACACACATACATAAACCACAGAGAAACACACAGAAACACACACAGCATTAATCTTCTAGTGCACCTAATCTCAGAAACGACACGTTGTTCACGTGATCCCTTTATCTATAAGGAGAGGCAGAAACACGTTAAGAAAATACATGTATATGTGCACAATAGGTATAAACAAAACCAAGTAATTACGTGTGTATACGTTACTCTCTAATCGCCGTGTGTATCCGCAAATGTTGGAATGCTTCGTTTCAAACAAATCTTTCCTTCGATCTCTTTCTCTACTCGCGATCACGTGGTTCCTATGACAGAAAAATAGCAATTCCATCTTCTTCGTTTATCTCTTGTTTTTCTTTTTTTCTTTTCTTTAATGCTCGTTTATCTCGTTTATCTTATTTTCTAATCGTTCATTCGGTCCCGTTTCTTGCGTAAGAGTTATCGATCTTCTGACGTGTGAAAAACAGCTTTTTGTTACGCGATCCCTCGTTATGGACGAGATATTACAATATACACGAGGAAATGGTGTAATTAAACGACAAGCTTCGCTGTTTCGCCGAGATAAAATACGTGTACAGATGTAACTGAATTGAAGAAAGGCGAAACAGCGAGAGAGAGAACACCTTTCCTCGTGTACGAACGAGCTTCTGTTGGCCGATGTGTGTGAAAACGTTTGCGGATGGATACGATATCGCAGGTGTTCGGTGAAACAGGAACAATATGCCCGGAGAAGAAAGCAAGGTACAAGTATCGGAAAATTTGGACGAACGAGCTCGTCCTGTTTTCGACGCAGAAAATTAGGGGAGCGCGGCTTTGGAAACGAACGATTATTCCTCATTTTCATTTTCTCGCCTTTTCTCCTTTCTTTTTTTACAAATAATCTCTCTTTGGAATAACGAATTTCCAACGAACGGGCAAGAGTTCTATTTTCTCGCGATTTCTCGACTGAGCGGGAGAATAACACAGAAAAATGGGAGGAATCGATCGTTTCCTAATAATCCGCGTGTAAAATAAGCGCGTCGAGTCCAGAAGAGATATTTAGAGGCTGAAAGGAATTCGTCAAATTATACGGTGCTATTAGGCTAATTGTGATTAACGAGCGCTTAATGAATTCGGGAGTTCTGAAGTTTCTTACCTAGCTGACGAGACGTTAGAGAAAGAAGAGAGAGATAGAAGGATATTTCTGTTCCTATTACTTAAGGGAAATTCTCCGAGAAAGGATTCGCGATCTGATCACCCCTTGGATTCGCGTGGAGAAACAATTGAAACTCGCGATCGTTCGACGTGCTCCAACTTTCGATTTTCATCCCGCATCTCTCTTCAACTGGACTCAACCGCTTCGCGAACTAGCGTTGTATGATTTTTCTACGATGCTCCAACGTACGTGTAATTCGCGCGACATTTAAGGTGACATGAAAGGAGAAATGAAACTATGAAATGGATAAAGAAA